CGTAGATTTTCCCCATCTCTCTTGCACCAACGGCCATCAACGATGAAATGTAGGATACATTCTGTTTTCAGTTTTTAAGTAGATTTTCGAAGCTAAAATTAAATCTGACCTAAGAGTTGTTCCCACCCTATTTTGTGTGGGGTGATAAGGACTGGCAGATGGGTTTACCTAGAAAGTTATGAGTAATCTTCATACATTTTGCATAGCTTTGTTTCCAAAAATGATATTCTCTTTCTGGCAGGAGTGGATGGCAGTTTAGACCTCTCCGGAACTCGTCTCATCTGCAGCCAGAGCGGGACTCGAATCTGGGCTGTGGGGGTGCAACGTATAGTCTCTACTAATTCGTCAACAATCCCAACACAGAATTGTGCCATGAGAAATCCACTTTAGTTGCGTGGCAAACTGGTACTCGTTCCGCCGTCGCGTAGTGGTTGACATGTCAAGACTATAAGCTGCACTAGCGCAACCCCGGTTCGAGTCCCGTTGGGGGAGCTGACGAGGCAAGTTGAAGAGAAGTCATAGCCACAATCCAGTCCAGTCCAGTTGGGATGAGAGTACTTTGTGGCAAGTAGTGCTATATGAAATTGAGTGAAAATATGAGGGCTACACATTCCATTGTGGAAAAATTAAACTACAACTCCTTCATCACCTTAAAGGAAATAGGATGAATATAGAACTTATATTGGGCTCTGATTTTTACGCGATTTGTATCAGAGTCTATTTGCATAAAAAACGTCTCAACAAAGTGAAATTTAGTCGCCTCCCCGATCCGATCCCAACAGAATGTACAGTCTACCTCCGCGAAGCAGCAGGATAGACCTGCTACGGATGATTCAGAGCGAGAGAAGCCGGTAGTTGAATAGAGAAAATGGAGCTTGGTATAAAAAAATATTTATGCCGAAAATTGGATAGAAAAGTGAGATGATAAATTTGTTTAAAATGCGTATTGAAGCAATCACTTTTGAAGCCAGGGTTTATCTCACAACGGCACTGGTCAAGAGGTCTCATATCATCTTGGCAACTATCGGGATTACGGCGAACGAGCAGATTTATCTCCAATTGGGTGAATCCATTTGGGTTATAAGATCACCTCACGCTTTGCCACTTCGGGGCAAGAGGTTGGAGAAGCGGATAAAAAGGATTTATTTGCGAAATTGCTCATCATTCGCATCAAAAAGCAGCAAATTGTAAAGCCATCATCCTCATTAAAAGCCGAATAACTTCATGAAATCATAAAATATCTTCATCTGCAGTCCTTTTTATTATTGCTTGCCTTTCGCTGCCTTCATTTGTGCAACAGCAATACATTTCTGTGGAGACTTTCATTTCGTATGGAAGTGCATAATGAAGAGATTCTTTGGTCAATCACACAAGGTGACGACGGCTGATGCCACTAGTGCTGCAGCCAGGCGTTTAGGTTGATGTAGTCCACAAAATATCCTTCCTTGTTTGGGGTTAAAATGAATGAATCGAGGTAGGATGTCTCGTGGATTACGTCATCTTGAAGGTCGTTGTAAAGCCAAACGCGAATAAGCCGTCTTTTTCTGTTGAGATCAACCTTCGCATTTCTTCATCATACACACATTCATACTAAATAAAATTTAGCTCCAGATATTTATTGAAACCCGCTTTATTCTTCGTGCATACCAATCCATATGTTCTGTCATTAATACAATTGTTTTTATATGTCCCGTACTTGCACAGGAGTTGTTTTAGACATGACCGATCCTTGCCAGTTCGGAAACGGTGGCTGCACGCACAGATGCCTCAGCGGCGAGTCTGGAGTCGCCGAGTGTGCCTGCAATCCTGGCTATGATCTTCAGGCTGACGGGAGGACATGTCGTGGTAGGTCATCCGCTTGATTGCTAATTACTGCCATGCTACTTTAATTGAATTCCATATTTATGTCACTCTACTTATAAGTAGTAAGTATAAATTATATTATTTAGATCGCGATGAATGTGCGCTTGGCGAAGACCGTTGTTATGGTGAAGCTGTCCAATGTGTCAATGAAATCGGGACATATCGATGTCACTGCCAACCGGGATATCTGTTGACTGGCGACAGTTTGTCATGCAAAGGTATATATTTATTTATATATATATATATATATATAATTTATTTGCTAGTCATGAATTTTAAATACTTCAGGCAAAATAAATTACAAATCACTAAATTAAAAAGTTGAATAAAGACTTAGTCAGACTAGGTCAGCTATGGTGATTTAAAAATACATAATTGGGCTTTCTCTATAATCAGATTAGTTGACATTAAATGCTGGGTGCGACATTCGAGGCAAGCCAGACCTTTTCCAAATCACATTTATGTGTAATTAACGACTAAGCAAATATTTTTGTCATTTCAATCGACGATGGTACTCTATTTCGATGTGAATATTTTTCGAGAATATGCATATCAAAATTAAATGGCGTCGTCGATTGCCCTAAATAAGAGGGGGGGTTGTAGGAAATTTTGCAGAAGCAATTAGCAGT